GCTGCTTGGCCTGCTGTGTTCATCCAGCCCTGCACCTTGTTGTCTCAATAACCAGGGGACCTGTTTCCAGTAATTGGCAGAAGAACCAGAGGTGATAAGATAGAAACAAAAAATTGCTTCTGCAGTGAATTGTGAACTGGAATGGGCTGCCTGAAAGGGTGGTGGAAATAAATTTGATTGTAACTTTCAAAAGGGAATTGGATGAACAACTGAGTAGAAATATTTGCAGGGGAGTGGGAGTAATTGCATAGCTCAATCAGAAAGCTGGCACAGACACGGTTATAGAGTCGTAGAGATATACAGCATGGAAACAGACCCTTCAGTCCAACTCATCCATGCCAACCAGATATCCTATATAAATCTAGTTCCACTTGCCAGCATTGGGCCCATATCCTTCTAAACTGTTTCTATTCATATACCCATCCAGATGCCTTTAAGTGTTGTAATTGTACCAGCCTTCACCACTTCCTCTGGCAGCTGATTCCATATGTGCACCACCTTCTGCATAAAAAAGTTGCCTCTTTTTATATCTTTCCCCTTTCATCTATGCCCTCTAGTTTTGGATTCCCCCACCCTAGGGAAAAGACCTTGCCTATTTACCCTATCCATGCCCTTCATGATTTTATGAATCTCTATAAGGTCACCCCTCAGCCTCTGATGCTCCAGGGAAAATAGCCCCAGCCTATTCAGCCTCTCCCTTTAGCGCAAACCCTCCAACCCTGGCAACATCCTTGTAAACCTTTTCTGAACCTTTTCTATAGGAGAGAGACCAGAATTCTGTGATCTTCTGAATAGTATTATTCTCAAAGATGTAGAAGCATATTAAATCAGAAATAAGGAGTGAGATTTGTTTTATAGGATGGCATTTTTGTTGTTCATCTTTGTGGTTTACCTGGTACAGTGGTATGAAATACTTCCCTAAAAGTTCCTTTCAATGAACTTCCTCTTGAGAAGGAGTTTCTTTGGGCCTGACATGACTTGGTTGCTTCAGTAGGTCGATGTGTTGCTGAAGTACATTCATTTGCTGCAGTAATACCTGGCATTCTAACTCTGGACACAGTGGCAGCATGTCAGCTTATTAGCACCAGGTACTGTGGAGGAGATCAGTTCTCAATGGACAAGTGTGACACCACAGTTTGAAGTCTGTATGTTGGATTGTCATGTTTTTTTTCATTTCAACATGGTAGCAGAGTAACAGCACAGTGTGCTGACTCCTCAGCCCAGGAGCCTGGAGCTCATCTACTCTATCTGCTTTACCCTTCTTTTCTTTCTATACTTTTTAAAAATGCTTCGATTTATTATTTTACCTTCTTTTAACATCTTTGGTGGAAGGCATTTCCTCCAGGCCCAGTGATGACGTGACTTTCGCTAGCCCGGAATGGCGATATAGACCTGGCGGGCCAATCTCCGAGTGTGGCAGTATTGTCCATGAGGAGCACTGTTGGCCTGGATTAGCATTCTTCTCCCAGCGTGGAGGTCACATCGGCTGTGGAGTTCTACTTCGGGGGTTCAGGCTATTCTAGCAGCACAACGCCGAGGTCTTGCCCTTGCTTCAGAGGTGGTTTCCAGGTCTTTCAACGGCCTGATGTGACATCTAGTCCTGGCATGGAGGTCTACTTCAGCAGTTTCTGGGTATTCCAGCACCCGGTGTGGAGGTCTAGTCCCGGGGTGTAGTCTTGTCTTGGTATGGCTGCCTGATCTCTGCCTGGTCCTGCATGGCAGTTTCAGCCCAGTTCTCCAGCATACCCTGAACTCAGGTGTCATTAATTGAACAGTGCTGAATTTTTGCACTTTTTTCTTCTCATTTCTGACTTCTGACATTAATTGAGGAGCCATTGTATGGCGACTTATAAGACTGTCCACCGTTTTTTTTGTAGAATTGGAGGGGGCAATAAATTGCTATTCTGTTCTTACTCCACTATAAGTCTCAAGAATGGATGCCTCATTGCAGAGAGCTTAACTTAACAGACTCTATTCCTTCGAGGTTGCTTGCACTATGGTGTCAGTCTTTGTTCCTAGGCCAGCATTTATTGCTCATCCCAAATTGCCCTGAGGGCAGTTCAGAGTCAACCATAGCACAGTGTGCCTGGGCTCACAAGTAGGCCACACTGGGTAAGGGCAGTTACCTTCCCTAAAGGACATTAATGAACTAGATAACAAGGTGTGGAGCTGGATGAACACAGCAGGCCAAGCAGCATCGGAGGAGCAGGAAGGCTGATGTTTCGGGGCTAGACCCTTCTTCAGAAAAGGGGGAGGGGAAGGGGAAGGGGGTTCTGAAATAAATAGAGGTTGGGGGAGGTGGATGGAAGATGAATAAAGGAGCAGATAGTGGAGAGGAGATGGACAGGTCAAAGAGGTGGGGATGGAGCCAGTAAAGGTGTGTGTAGGTGGGGAGTTAGGGTGGGGATAGGTCAGTCCAGGGACTAATGAACTAGATGGATTTTTCTGACAGTTGGCAATGGATTAGACTCTTGATTCCAGATTTTTATTCTTCTGTGGCAGGAGTTGAACCTAGGTCCCCAAAATATTACCTGGATCCCTGGATTCACTGTCCAGTGATAATACCACCATGCCATCACCTCACTCCCTGTCACTGGCAACTCACACTGTGTGATCAGCCTGTCACCAGCAGCCTGCACAATGCCATTAGTCTCACACGGGTAGCTTGTGTCCTGTTGTTTCAGCAGCAAAGGTTTTGGGTCTTGATATCTTCTTGCTATTTGAATTCAACTAACTTAATAAACTAATGGATGGCATAGCTAGTGAAGATAATAAGTGTCAGAACATAACAGGACCATTATGCAGCCCAGACACAGAGAAGGAGTCTGTGCCTTCAAGAGGAAAAGGGAAAATTAATGAGAGAAAAAATGTGCTGACCTCTCACTCTCAATAATAATCATCTTGCAGTAAATATCCCAGAGCTGGTCTGGAGCAAGAACAAACCTTCAGAACAAAAAAAAAGTGTCAGCCCTGAGAAGTCAGTTATTTTGGCATGGATGTGATGTAGAACAAGATTGATACAAGTCTGGTGTGGAATGATCTCCTGTTTGGGGAAAGGTAGCTGTTGAGTTGTAAACTTAATTATAATTGCCTGTTGTACCATCCACATGAGGAATTCACAGCAATAAATCACAGTTCCATCAAGGATGGTAGCATGGGGTTTGAGGACAATCCCTCCCCTTGATTTGGCTCTTTTGAAACTGCTTTCTATAAAATGTCAGAGTATACAGAAAACAACAACAGAGTCTAAATGTGTTGTCATGTGTTAGAATCCACAAACTAAACTTAACATGACAATGAAGCAGTGACCTTGAATGTTCTGAGGTTTGATTTCATTTAATAAAATTGATCCTGGCTGAGGGTGTGCTATAAGGACACTGCATCTAACTTCAGTATTAAATCACCAGGTGACCAGTTTCAAATGCAATCTCATGCCATAAATTATTGGAGAATGTAATAGAGCTTTTAAATGACTGAAAAAGGCCTTCCAGCCCATCATGTCTCTCCCAGTGACCAAACATCCATCTATTCTAATCCTTTTTTCCAACACTTGGCCTGTAGCCTTGAATGCTATGGCATTTCAAGTCTTCAGCTAAGCAGTTATTAAATAAGAGAGAGAGCAAGCTCAGACTAGAATGGGGCTGTATCTCAAAATTGAACATTCTGTTGACACCCAGTGCCCTGTTAACACTGTTAAACCAGCACCTTTTGGGGCAGTACCTCAGTCAGATTGAGCATTTTAGGAGAGGAGTCAGTTGTAAAGGGGTTGGCTGTGGTTTTTCTGTCCCCAGCCTTCATTCAGAGTTCTGAGATTTGTTGAACTTTCTCCTACACACTGAGACAGGAACTTCCAGAAGCATTCATTTTTAATCAAGTTCTTCCACTATCTAGCTCGAAATATTGGTGTGTTTATAGGCAAGCGGAGTGAGCTGGAAGATTATATTTCCCTTAGAATGAGCGGCT